CCAGACCCCATCCTCGGCCGTCATTCAGCTGTGCCTTCGCCCCTGCCAGACGGACGAGGGTTAGGTTTCTCTAGTGACAAGAAGCCTTTGGCATACGCCAGATCTCCCCCCCTGTCCGCAGAGCGTAGGGAAGAGGTCTGGCAGCCCAAGGTTGGGCTCACCCAAAGTGATGCGGTGCACATCCAGAGCCAGGACGGGGAGCACCCACCTCCTGGCGTCCCTCGGGGTGTCCTCTGTGGCGCAGCGAGTCAGCGTGGGCCGTGGGTCCCCGTGGAGCACGGCAACATCCCGAGCCCTGCTACGCCACCCTGCAAACCAACACGCACCGGGGTCGTGGCAGCCCCCAGCTCCTACACCCCAGCTGCAGAGCTGAGACCGGGTGCTATGCCATGCCAACTCAAGCCGCAGCTCGGCACCCCAAGCTCGCTCCAGCTTTCCACCGCTGACACGTTTTTCCGTGGCAGTGCAATTTCAGGGCGTACCCTTGCTGGTCACCCCCTTGCACCGGCAGCCGCCGCCGGTTTTCCTTCTTCCAGCAAACCGAGACAACAACAAACAGCAACAAGTGTTGCCGTCACCTAATGGGACCTAAACCCTGGCCTTGGAGAACAGGGGAGGAATGTCACGCGTCCCGAAGTGTTTCGGCTGGCTCGGCCCGAGCAGCAGCCTGGCTAGCTGAGCAACGGGCTCTTGATTAAGGAGATCTAAAAGCCCAGAACCTCCGTGCTCCCCATCCCTCTCGGTGCTCTGGCTGCCAGGTATTGTGCCTGCCTGTGCCCGCTCCCCTCGCACCACCTTTGCTGCTGCTCCCTCTTTCGTTTCTCGTTTTGGTGGGGATTTTAATAGGCCTCATTACCATTTTAGACATGAGGTCATACTTAACCTCAAGCATCCTTACTCAATTACCATTGTCACTGGTTTTAATTAGCTTCCAGCGCACGACCGTAAGCAAATCTCCCGTCGTTAGCAGCTGGGGAGGAAGCGCAATAGCTCACTCCGTTTGCTCCTAACGACAGGTGGGAGGAAAAAAATACTCCATATCATGGCTCCTTGGGGCTGCTCCCCAGCAGAGCATCCCCTGCACCAGCCCAGTGCTCCATCCTTCCCCACCACTTCTCCTGATGCTTCGACCCCTTCTCCTCAGAAGTCCTTCCTTAGGAAAAACTCCCACCATTACGTGGGCAAAGAAAGAGTAAATTAAAATGAAGCGTGGTCGCCAGGACATGGTCTGAAACTCGCTGTTCTTCCCCGGGGATAACTGGGATTCAAACGCCAGGAAAGATACAGGCGTGGTTCTCAGCTCGCGTACGCGTTAGCCAGACTCACAATTTTGCACGTGCAATGGAAGCTTTTTTCAAGAGCGCTGGTGCCAGCCAGCTCCATCAAGCCTCTGTCTACCTATAGCTTGGAGCAAACCATGGTGGCACATCCTCCACAGCAGGACCACCCTCTGGAGGTTTCCGTGCTCTTCACTGCTCAGGTTGAGGGATCAGACAAGGGGTACAGCTGCAGGAGACATCCGGCTGCTGCGGCAGACACCGGATATCACAACAAGGGTAGAAGGCAGTGGAGAGGAGGAGATGGGCTCCAGGTGAACCGTTCAGGGTAACGAACCAGGAAATGAGAGGATAGAGTGTGGAGGGGCTGCACGCAGTGCCCAGGGATGGGGGTAGGAGAGGGGCACTGAACCTTTGATGGCAAGAAGACCTGCAGGCGAGTGCTCCCCAGCCTCCCAAAGGGCTCGACTCCTCCCCAAGTGTGTTTAAGGAAAAGGGGTCTCCCTATAACTCCCTGTAACCTCCTCCCACGTCAGAAGGGGAGCCCACCTGCCTGGTGGACCACTACTAAGACTGGCATAAGGCCAGCAGGCACAGCCCTCCCACGGCTCACAAATACAGATGTTTCCACAAGGAGCATCAGTTCAGGTCCTATCTCCTCAGGAAGCCACCCCTCAGCAGGGGGCAGGGGCCCCTTGAGGGCTCCGCAGCCCCCACCCCACTATTCCGCAAATGGCTCTCATGCAACGTTGATAAGCTGAGGCCAATTAGCACTCATTAGTATGCAACAAAGCATGCACTAGTGTGGTTGTCGCCGAAAGGCAGCAAGCATTTCCAGCCCAGCTCCTCTCTGTCAGGAGAGCTGGCAGGAACACTGCTCCCTGGCCTGGAGAGCACCCGAGGGGGACTGGTGCTGCAGGGGGTCACTGCCCTTCAGGGTGAGGTTGGGAGACTGTTAGAGGGACAGCACAGGTAAGAAAACACACCCTTAAAATGGGAGGGTCTCTTGGGGACAGAGACTTGTGAGGTTTTCTGGGGTTTGGGTTTTTTTTTTAAGGCCAAAATGTCCAACAGTTCTGGTGGATCTCTTCCAGAGCAGAATCACAGAATAGTTTGTGTTGGAAGGGACTTTCAAAGATCATCTAGCCCCATCTCCCTGCTGTGGACAAGGATGTCTTTCACTAGATCAGGTTGCTCAAAGCCCCATCCAACCCAGCTTTGAACACTACCCCAGGGATGGGGCATCCACGATTTCTCTGGGCAACCTGTTCCAGTGCCTCACCACCCTCACAGTGAAGTTCTTCCTTATATCCAATCTAAATCTGCCCTCTTTCAGTTTAAATCCATTGCCCCTTCTCCTATCACTACACGCTCTTGTAAAAAGTCCCTCTCCAGCTTTCCTGTAGCCCCTTTAGGTACTGGAAAGCTGCTATAAGATCACCCTGGAGCCTGCTCTTCTCCAGGCTGAACAGCCCAACTCTCTCAGCCTGTTTCCAGAGCAGAGGTGCTCCAGCCTTTGGAGCATCTTCGTGGCCCTCCTCTGGACTCACTCCAACAGCTCCATGTTTTCCTGTGCTGAGGACCTCAGAGCTGATCGCAGCACTGCAGGGGGGGGGTCTCACAAGAGCAGAGCAGAGGGGCAGAATCCCCTCCCTCGACCTGCTGCCCACACTGCTTTGGATGCAGCCCAGGATACAGTTGGCTTTCTGGGCTGCAAGCACACATTGCCGACTCACGTCCAATTTATCATCCACAAGCATTCCCAAGACTTCCTGCACAGGGCTGCTCTCAATCCCTTCATCACCCAGGAGGAGTTAGCTCTCGTTTGCTGTGTTTGTCACTCCAGAAATATTAGGCTCCTGTTTGGATAATTTCAGAAGAAAATTCAACTCCTAGAAAGAGGAAGGGAAAGGCTGAGGGCATTAACACCTCCTTGTGCTCCTGTTGGCCTGAACGTCACAAAGGGAAAAGAGAAGTGAGAGAGTGATGCTGACTCCAAGGGGAATTTACCGTCATTTGATTTTCAAACAACAGATGTGAGGGAACACCACGAGAGCAGTTCCCAACAGCCTGCACACCCTGCGGAAGCATCCGCAGTGTCAGGTGAAGTAAAGCCCTTGCTCAGCGCGCCGGCTCTGCTTGCCTTGTTCTCCTCCCCTTGCCACCCTCAGTGTCTGTGGTGGTATATCTGCCGGCTGGTTGGGTCATAGTGGCTAGTACTTGGCCATGGGTGAGCATCGGCGTGTGCGTGGACATGATTCAACAAGCCTGAAGTTGATAGGAAACTGGACCACATGAAAACCAGTAGCACCATCATCTTCTAATGTAAAAAGGAAGCACTGGCTGTTAAAAACAGTATTCGGATAAAAGCAATTTTCAGTCATCTCAATGGTTGATCTTCAGGGCTGGAAAACCTGTTTCTTTAGATCCTTCAAGACCCAAGATTACTTATCTACTAATGCTGAGCAAGTGTAGACTAATGCATAAATATCCCTCAAAAAAGATGCAGTTGATGACATCTGGATGTCAGCCTTACCTCTGTGCCAGGTAAAATCATGGAACAGATTCTCCTGGTAGCTGTACTAAGGCACATAAAAAATAACCAAGTGGTTGGTGACAGCCAACATGGCTTCACTAGGGGCAAGTCATGCCTGACTAATTTAGTGGCCTTCTACGACAAAGCTACAGCGCTGGTTGACGTGGGTAAAGCAACGGATGTCGTTTTCCTGGACTTGTGCAAGGCGTTTGACACTGTCCCACATGACATCCTTGTCTCTAAAATGGAGAGACACGGATTTGACAGATGGATCACTCAGCGGATAAAGAACTGGCTGGATGGTCGCGCTCAAAGAGTTGTGGTCAATGGTGCGATGTCTACATGGAGACCAGTGGCAAGTGGTGTCCCTCAGGGGTCTGTTCTGGGTCCAGTGCTGTTCAACATCTTTGTCAGCGACATGGATGATGGCATTGAGTGCACCCTCAGTAAGTTTGCCAATGACACCAAGTTGTGTGGTGCCGTGGATTCACTTGAGGGAAGAGATGCCATCCAGAGGGACCGTGATAGCCTTGAGAAATGGGCCAGTGCAAACTGCATGAGCTTCAACAAGTCAAAATGCAAGGTCCTTTACCTGGGTCGAGCCAATCCTAGACACAAATACAAACTGGGCACAGAATGGTTGAGAGTA